AAATAAATTAGCCCCAAGCCATGCTTGGACCTAGAATCATGTAATTCGGTACACATGTAATGTCTCAAAACCTACAAAAAATGTCTCTTGGAGTCATGGTCCAATCCCCACAGGAAGTTGGACATTTTGGATCAAAGTTGCCAATTTCTCTCTTTTCTTGTACATGTACAGTATCTGAGCTAACTCCCCCTACAGCTTTGAACATGCACACTTCACATGCTGCATGCTTCTCTCAACACTGACTTGTGATGGTGCGGGTGTGGCAGAGTGGCCAATGCTGATGCCTCGCCATTTGCACACAGTTAGCTCTAAATCCCACATACATGATCGGATCTGCAACAAATTTGGTGTGCATCATCAAGGACACCTGCTAAACACATCTGTGTTAGTTTAATGAGACCACTTTAGCCCCGTCCACTTTGCACACAGTTGGCTCTTAATCACACATACATGAATCAATTTGTGTACAATTGTGTGTGCATAATTAGGGAAACCAACTAATTAGTGTTTTGGCTTGAWATCACTTTAGCCCCGCCCACTTTGCATATGGTTGGCTCTAAATCTCACAAACATTATCCGATCTGAACCAAATTTTGTGTGCATCATAAAGGAGACCTGYTCAACACATTTGTGTAGTAATTTAACAAGATCACTTTAGCCCCCTCTCTGTCTGTCTGTTCAATTTATGAGATTATTTAAATAATGAAGGCCTGTGATGATTCCAAGAAAACTGCTCATTTCTGAATAGCGATGGGGGATATCAACGTTTAGTGTCAAGTTCTAACTTCTTGTTATGGAAGAAGAGAAACAAACTGGAAACACAACTTCTTTAAACACATTTTTATTTTTTTGTTATTTGTTGGAAGTAGATAAATTGCCAGAACATYTGTGGGGAACGAGTCACATATGTCGTGGAACATTAAAAAAGTGCAAAACCACACAGTTCCTCCTTCTAAAAAACAGCTTTAAATAAAGATAAAGCATATCCCACGGCCACATATGACACTGACCGCTCTGACTCGGCAAAGGCTCAAAAATACAGTTCTCACACAGCACCGGGTGAAGAAACTGAAGCCTGCTGAAATAACCAAATTAGTTGAAAAATACAGTACAATGTTACAACAGAGAGATGCGGTCACTTGGCAAACAGCGCTCAGAAATCTTTGGTCAGTAAAGCTTTTATAAAAGCAGCTCCAGTAAATGAACAGGAGGACTTTACGCCTCACAAAAACACACATTTAAACAAAGCATTACTGCAAATAATAACACTGAATAAATGCAGAAGGACTCTTCTTGATTTATGTTCACACTTTCCTGATAACGCTAAAGCTATGAGTCAAAAGCATGTTGCAAAAAAAAAGTACTTGAATCATCATGTAATGACAAGTTAGATAAAATAAATGAGACTAAACATTAGAAGCKCCATTTATCCCACTCATCATGTACACATCATGTCTAACATATGAGTCTGAACTCTTTTTTATAATTTCTGATTGTTTTTAGATTGAAAAAGCAGGAAAAAAAAGTTTGGCGATGTTTTTTAAAAAAAACTGAACTGCACAGCATCTAGAATCAGCAGAATCACAGAGAGCAGATGGGTTGGCCAAAGCCCTGCAGCTCCTGCTGATTTACTCCCAACACGCCTAAAAATAGAGTCAGAGAAAACGTGGAGCCAGATTTGATCTGTTTTTTTTTTTTTTTGGATCAACCTGCACCCCAATGAGGTGATGAGCTCTGTGCAGCCAGATGAAACAGACTTGTTTTGTTTTAGGGATTGAAACTAAAAGAGAGAGAGAGAGAGAGAGAGAAAAAAAATTTTTCTTTCTTTTTTTTTTTTTAGCTCAGACTGACAGCTGAAGGCTTCACAAACACACACTCACTCACACACACGCAGCAACACAGAGTGACACAAACACACTGTATATTTTAGTTAGGCTGGTGGCGTACAAGCGGTTGAAGCTGATTAACTTGAACACAATGGATAAAAGGATCAGTAACATCAGAGCGTGTACAAAATTCTGGGTCGGTGGGTTCGTGTGAAAACAGACACTGAAGTCAAGTAACAAACATCTTTACAGGTTGTCTAATCAGGCTTATATAAAATGTACATTCTCGATCATGCAGTAGCACCATGGTTTGTTGAGGTCACTGGATCTGCAGAGATCCTCTACTTCCTCCTGCCACAGTATTTACCCTGGCATCCTGCAACGCCACCTGCAGGAAGCAGCACAGGTACATTTCAGTCTCCGATAAAAAAAAAAAAGAAGAATTTAAGTAAAGAATGGAAAGCTCTTCCTCACCTCTGTAGATCCCTCCTCCTCCTCCTCCTCCTCCACCACCTCCACCAAGGAAGCTCTGCAGAGGACCATACTTGGCTGCCTTGGCTGCAAAGAACAAAGATTTATAAATTGTAAAGCTTCTAATCAAATCTGTACTGCTATTTTTAACATTTGTTAAAATTAAATCATTATAGACTAATTCTGGTAGTTAAAAAAATAATAAAATAGATCCACTTTTTTCATAGCTAATTTGCTAATAGTTATAAAAGACAGGAAAGTTGCTGTTATTTTTGACACAATATTCTACTGAGTTGTGATTAAAAAACATATCAATTAAAGTAGATTATTTATTTAGATGTAGCATTTATGTAGCGATCAGAACTCCTGGTTAAAAAGTACACTGTAAAACAGGGCCATTCAACTGGTGGCCTKCGGGCCACATCCGGCCTGCTGGTGACTTCTGTCCAGCCCGTCGAGGTTCTCTTTAAATTTAAATTTAGTTGAATACCCCGTTTATCAGATGTTTGGGAACTTTTTTGTAACTGTCAGTAAAAAGATGCTCCCATTTTTCATGTGAGTCATGGGTATTACAGGAAAAAAAAAAGCTATATTTTAAAGTGAATTCAGGTTATTGAGAAATATAAAAACCTAAAGAATCTTGCTTCCAGTGAAGCCATCAGTAAGAGATCATTCATTCAACCAAGTCTGTTCTGACAAGCACGAATTCATCTTTCAAATGAATTCTATAGGTTGCCATCATTCACTGACTTCAACTGATTTCACACTAAATAAGATGAAATGCAMCCTTGCTCAGGGGTATTAGAACTTGTTGATGTGATGTCGTTACTTTTTGATACCTTGTTGGGGAGTCAACGGGGCCGGGACATATCCACCTAAACAACAACAAAAACAGGTCAGAGACGAGTTAGAGCCAGCAGAATAATACTTAAAATAAATCAAAATTATATCTGTCACAGAGGTGGGTCCAGTTGTCCCGACCAGGGACAATAAAACTGTCAACTTTAAAATCCATAATGCCAGCTAATCACCAAATCTAAATTCAGCTGGTAAATCCAGGAAAAATAAGTTTATTTGATCAAACTATATTTAAGCCATATTAGAGGGTCCTTATGGAAACACAGACACAGCATGTCCTGATGCAACTCAGTAATCCAAGTAGAAAAATCCAAAAGAAAAATTAAGTAGGTCCTCTGAACTGACTGACACAACATCTTTAAAACACACACACCAATCCTGTGTTTTATTTTGCCTCCTCCTAAAGATTAATGATATTATTTTCTCATGTTTCAGTTTGATTTATAGCTCGACYATCACTGCTTAAAGGAAACTACTACGAACTGTTTATCAAGAATGGATACGCATAATGTACAATCTGTTATAAACTGCAATGACTCATCAGAAAAAGGCAAATTTCTTGTCAGGAAAATACTTTGTTGGATATAAATACCTGGATAGAATTGTTGAGGATGTCTTCCTACAAAACCAGGACCTGTCAGTAAAATAAATAAAATTACTGTGGAGATTTCATTCCATTAATTAAATTCACAGATGGAAATATGTTATAAGAGGGACAACTTGACAATATAAGATTAATGACTGGCTCGAAGAGTATGTGGTGTTAGAAAGTACACACTAAAAACTTCTAGATTATTTTGATCACTCAGTTGTTTGGTTGAAGCTGTTGGGTTATAACCAGGAATGCGTTAAGGGGGGTGGTGGTTAGCTCCAGTTTAACTAATTACAACTAATTAGTGTTTTTACCCAGTTTTTAGGTAGAAAATTTAACCAGATATGTTGGTCAAACTAATAACCCAACCCTGCTGAATTACAACTATCTAGAGTTGTCTTGGTCCAAATACGACCTAGCACTAAGCTACAAATTGGTTTGTTTTAGTATGTATGTTATAAATGTTTTGTCTTGTGTGTAAATCATAACATCAGTAACTTATAGATGCAACCATGCACTCAACTTTTTTTTCCAATTACAGAAATCGACAATCTGGTAATTAATTCTCTCTGCTGGTTAAACCATCTGCAGCAGTGAGTTACTCAGATGAACGCAGAGTATCTGTGGTCACAGAGACAGATTAGGACCATGACCTTTCATGACCAGCCTGTAGAGTATACAGGGACGCGACCAAAAAGGCTGCTGCAGTTTGATTACATTCATTCATCATCATGGGTGGACAAAGAATAAAGAGGAGAAACGAGGGCAAACAACCACACAGCATTAATAAACTCTGCTGTACGTTGCTGAGGTGAGGTGAGATGTGCAGGGTTAATATTTTAAAAAGGCACAAAACAGAGGGAGATCAAGCAGCAACATGCAAACAATGCTTCTCACCTGGCTGATTTAAACCTCCACCTCCAAGACTTCCATAACCTGATCAAATTAAAGCAGAAGAAATAAGTGTCAGTTTGATGTTTTTCATGGTGACTGTTTGGACCATTTTTGTCTCATTCTTCCCTAATATGATGAAATGTGGTCAGTGGCTCACTGGAAACATCCTCGTCTGACTTCCCTCTGACAGAATTTACAGTTATTTTAGGGCAGGGCTCTCCCACATGATGGGTTTGGGCTATCTTCAGACAATATTACTGTGAAGTTACACACAGTGTGACTAACAGCAGTCGGTCTCCAGGGAGAAATTATGTGTTATTTACTGTTGGTCCATTTATAAACTCCTAACGGTGCAGGATTTCTGCTTGACAAAACTGATGTTGCTGCAGTTTTTGATAAAAAAAACATTATCCCACTTATTGCCAAAGTTGTTTAACTCCACTAACCTAAAGTTATATCATAAATAGACTATTTAAACTTTTGCAGTGCAACATGTTTCTGTTTGCTGTTCGCTGTACCTGGTTTGGGTACTTTAAAGGGGCAATATTATGTGTTTCTCAGGCATACATTTAAATACTATACCATAATAAAGTATCTGTGTCACCTTTAGCTGTTATTAAAATGCTGTTTTTATGTTTAAATATAAAATGAACTTATCTTCTCATTACTTCCTTTTCTAAACGCCTTGAAAATGGCCTCTGTCTCTTTAAGAACCATCTTCCACTTCTGTGTCTCGCCCATTTATTT